AAAAGATTATCCGAAAACGATAAATAGCAGTTACTTTCCTCTCTGCCTGTATCGTTTATTACAAAAAGAGAGAGAGAGAGAGAGAGAGAGAGAAAACGAGAGGAGAGATAGAGAGAAGAGAGAGGAGAAAGGAGAGAGAGAGGAGAGAAAAAAAACAGAGAGAGAGAGAGAAAGGAGAGAGAGAGAGAGAGGAGAAAGGAGAGAGAGAGAGAGAGGAGAAAGGAGAGAGAGAGAGAGAGAGGAGAAAGGAGAGAGAAAAACAGAGAGAGAGAGGAGAAAGGAGAGAGAAAAACAGAGAGAGAGAGGAGAAAGGAGAGAGATAAACATAGAGAGAGAAGAGAGTGTGAATCGCCATAAAAACCATCATTCTATTCCCTATGTTCATCCCTTACATCACCTGACTACAGGTAACTCCCTTCAATACAGAGGGATCTTAAAAACATCTTCATAACTCAACGATGGAACCTCAAAGGAATTGCTAATATCGTAATTCTGTTTTTTTTTTTTTTTTTCTTTTCTTTTTTGTAAATATGGGCGAGAGGATTTTCTTAATATCATCTTTAAGATTTGTTTTATACCCGTGTTTTTTTTTTTTTTTTTTTTTTTTTGCATCTTTTCTTTCTTTTCTTCCTTTTTTAATCTTCTGTTGGTTTCATTGGTGATTTCATAAGACAGGCAACTTTTAGGTGGCTTTTGTTTAGCCAGAGAAAAGGGGTATAATTTCTTGTAGTGACATCATCCCGACTCTAAGGATGATGTCATCTGCATGAACCTCGGCCAACGCATCACGAGCCGCCAGAGATGAAGTCCCCGCCGGGTGCCACGTGCGGTTACATCCCGCAGACACGTGTGTGTATATATATATATATATATATATATATATATATATATATATATATATATATATATATATATATATATATATATTTTTTTTTTTTTTTTTTTTTTTTTTTTTTTTTTTTGGGGGGGGGGGGGGCACCTGCGCCTAAGTCCGCAGGCGTTCGTATTCATTTTTTTTTTTTACAAGTCCAACCACCATTAAAAAAAGGACAGAATTATGACTGTGGTGATAATGTGAACTTTTATAACAATTAATTTTTATAACAATGAACGTAATATTTACCAATTCTCACTACTTGCAGGGCGTTGAAGTCGCCAAGCCAAAAGGGATATTTATTTATTTTTAAACCTAAATATTGTAAATATGTTATGGCCAAAATGCACAGTTTTTACCACAACTGTTTAGTATCGGCTTTTCTCCGTATCCTTTCCTTTATTTATCTTTTTTCTAATGTTCTTTCCCCTTGTCGACGTCTCCAAAGTGTCGCGATAACCACCGAGGGAGGTGATGGTCGTTACCCAGTTTTTCTTTTTTGTTTTTCCCTTCCCTCTCTCGTCTTGGTCGTTTGGGTTGTCGAACTATCGGCTTGGTCTTCAGGCACTTCATTTGCCTATTTCCTTCTTTCGCGCCATGCCTGGGGCTTGGCCTGGGGGTTTCTTTCAGGGTATATGTACTCGCGGAAGGAAAATGTCTTCGGTCCTGACCTCTGTCCCGCACTTTGGTCCTTCGCGGTGGAAATTTTACCTGTGTTGTGCTCTCGTTTGGATTTACCTCGCTTTACGCCAGGATTGCTGAGTATCTCCTCAAGCTAAGTGATTGATGGTTGCGTGTAGGAGACGACTGGTCTCTTTTGGACTTTAGCGTGACATGCTGCATCATTATCTGCAGGGTGCACTCTTTCGTGAAGTCCCATAACGGTATTGTGTATTTCCAAGTGTTTGAGAGCATTAGGACCAAGTGATTTAGAGGAACACTGCTTGAGGATCCGTACCTCCTGTGTAATCAATTTTAAAACTAGGTCATTACTTAGTTTTCTTTCGTCACTGCTTGAGGATCCGTACCTCCAGTGTATTCATTTTTACAACTAATTACTTAGTTTCTTTTCGTTCTTGCTTGAGGATCCGTACCTCCTGGGATAAAGATCTTTTCCAGTACCTTTACGTACTTTATCGTTATAGATATGATTCTTTTGTTTCGCTTAATGCGTGTTCGTTGATTTCTTCTTGAGGTCAATTTGGGACTGACTGTGTGGTATCGTCATGTCAGTGTAAGAAAAATGAGTGATATGTCTGGTAAATCTCACAAGGTTTTGTGAAAATAATAATGACAATGTGTTGAATTGTGAGAACTGAACATTAGTTTGACAAGATTATGTTACCAGGAAAAAGAAAATTGTGCGAAATTACATGCATGAGAAAAATGCAGTACACATACGAAATACTTTATTAACATTCAAGTGTCTAATATAATGTGTGTATATATATATATATATATATATATATATATAT